ATCATTTCGAGAAAAAAAAAAGAAGGATAAAATCAGGCACCTTTTTCTTTCATTTCATTTTTTTCCTCTCACTGACATGGTCTACACTTGTCTGCTGTATTAAACGAGAAATTCGATAAATATAACACAAAATGATTAGATGTGAAAAGCAAAATTAACGAGCACTCTCTCTTCATGTTATTGAAAATAAAATCATGCAAGATATCCAAAACTAAGCAATAATTTAGTTTGAGTAACACACTTTAAACTACTCGTAAACAGTAACTTTCTTGATTGATTTATAGGAAATTGACCAAGTTTTGGCTGATTAATTTATACATTCATTTTTGAGTCAATACCAATTTCATTATTAATCTAATCATATGTAAACAAAGTAAAAATCGTTATCCATCGCACAATGAAATAACCGATCAGGCTTGTGAAAAAAAAAAAAAAGAAACAACTTAATCATGTAACTATCCACTTCACTAAACATTTGGATCTTCATATCTTCACTTTTTCTCATATCACATATCAATAGCAATGATAAATAGTGTAAGGTCAAATTTCATTTCAATACATTGTAATGTACGTATACCTTCTATGCAGCGAAAGAATTATAGTTGAAACACCTAAGGAAGCAAGCAAGCAATAACACCACTGTTCAGCGAAACTTTTGTTCAATTTTTGCAATGAGAAGTAGCACACATAATTCTTCGATTTTCATTTTATCTCTCGATCAAACATCCCATTTCAATCCATAATGCATCTTTGCTACTCGCTTACTACGATCATTTATGTTCATTATAAATTGTTTCATTCAGAAATCTCACTTTTTGACTTTTTAATTTGATTAAAATTCAAAAAGAATTTCACATATCATTTCGAAAAAGAAACTAAAGAAATGCATGACATATCATTTACGTGCCAATAATTATAATTCTTATCGTAGCTCAACACGATTTAATTATCTATCGATAGATGAAAACAAAAAAAGAAAAGAAAAGAGAAAATGATTGAACTAAAAGATAGCTAGCTCTATATGGGAAAGTTACAAATGAATTGTGTAAGCATAATTAACTAAGTATAAATCTATAAAACACTATAAACTTTTTTACCTTTCAGTTCACCTCGCTTTCACAAACCAGCATTTCGCTGTAGCATTTCACCACTTCTTTTTTCTTTTTTGTTATCAGTTAAACGATCATTTCAACAATAACAAAAAAAAAATCGGAAATATGACATTTGTTTGTTTACATTTGTGAGCTCAACGTGTATTACTGTTACTCGAATAACATTGCTGTATTAAAAAAAAAAAAAACACACACACACACACATGCAAACTTTCTAATATTTAACAATAAGAAAAATTTTCTGGATGATTATTGAGAACTGATAAGTTATAATCTATATGATCTCACTGCTTTACTATTGCTATGCGTAATTGTCAGTTTGGTTACTGTACCACAGATACACATACACATATATACATACACACATGCACATACATATGCTCACATACACATACACCTATATAGATAGATAGATATAGATCGAATGAAGTAACGAGCAAGAGTATAGCTTAACTTTGGCTAATGGATAGATTGGAAAATGAAAAAAAAAAGAAGTGAAATGATAGAGAGGAGAGATATGAAAGCATGAAGGCTAATTGCATAATACACAAATTGATTCGGAATAAGATGATGATGTGGCTATCAAATATTGTTTGCTTCAGCTCGGTTGATACGTTCTCATCTTTCAATGAATGAATAAATGAATGAATGAATGAATGAATGAATGA